GCTGTCTGGCTGGGCGTAATCAGAAGCCAGGCTATTTGCCTCAACCTCCCACCCCGCCATAAAGGTCTCCCCCTTGCTCTCACAGAGATTGTGGAGCACACAGCAAGCTGCTATAACAATGGGGATATTGGTTTCGCTGAGATCACAGCGAGTCAGTAAGCTTCTCCATCTCCCCTTGAGACGGCCAAAAGCACACTCCACCACCATTCTGCACTTGCTCAGCCGGTAGTTGAAGAGTTCTTTTTCAGTGTCCAGGGCGCCAGTATAGGGCTTCATGAGCCAGGGCATTAGCGGGTAGGCTGGGTCCCCAAGGATCACTGTAGGCATCTCCACATCCCCAACAGTTATTTTGTGGTCCGGGAAGTAAATCCCTTCCTGCAGCCTTCTAAACAGACCAGAGTTCCTGAAAACATGAGCGTCATGAACCTTGCCCGGCCATCCGACGTTGATGTTGGTAAAACGTCCCCTATGGTCCACCAGTGCTTGCAGCACCATTGAAAAGTAGCCCTTTCGGTTGATGTACTGGCTGGCCTGGTGGTCCGGTCCCAGGATAGGGATGTGAGTTCCATCTATAGCCCCACCGCAGTTTGGGAATCCCATTGCGGCGAAGCCATCTATGATGGCCTGCGCGTTTCCCAGGGTCACTACCTTTGAGAGCAGTACCTCAACGATTGCGTTGGCTACTTGCATGACAACAACCCCCACAGTAGATTTGCCCACGCCAAAGTGGTTCGCGACTGACCGGTAGCTGTCCGGCGTTGCAAGCTTCCAGAGGGCTATGGCCACTCGCTTCTGGACAGTCAGGGCTGCTCGCATCCGGGTGTCATTGCGCTTCATGGCAAGGGACAGCAACTCACAAAGTTCAAGGAAAGTCCCCTTCCGCATGCGAAAGTTTCGCAGCCACTGGGATTCATCCCAGACCTGCAGCACTATGCGGTCCCACCAGTCCATGCTTGTTTCCCGGGCCCAGAATCGCCGTTCCACAACATCCACATGACCCATTGTCACCGTGATGTCCTTGGTGCAGGGTCCCGTGCTTTCTGACAGGCCTGTGCTACTCTCAGACTTCAGGCCCTCACCGCGGTGCCGTAGCCTCCTCGCCTGATTTATCTGCATCTGCCTCTGGGAAAGGTGGATGATAAGCTGCGAGGTGTTGACAACGGACACAACTGCAGCGATGGTCGCAGCGGGATCCATGCTCGCAGTGCTGTGGCGTCCGTGCTGTCACTGACCAGAAAAGTGCGCGAACTGATTTCCTGCCGGCGCTTTCAGGGAGGGAGGGAGGGAGGGCGGTAGTGACGGACGGATGACGACAGTTACCCAAAAGCACCCTCGACACATTTTTTTACCCAGAAGGCATTGGCAGCTTGACCCAGAATTCCAATGGGCAGCGGGGACTGCGGGAACTGTGGGATAGCTGCCCACAGTGCACTGCTTCCAATGTCGACGCTTTCCCCGTTAGTGTGGACTCACAAAGTCGAATTACTGTCCTTAGTGTGGACACACACGTTCGACTTTGCAATATCGATTCCACATATTCGATTTAAGTGAAATCGAACTACTCTCGTAGTGTAGACATACCCTTAGTCAATCAAGAAGCAGTGGCCTCAGCAAGATTGCTGGGAGCCAGGAACTCCTGAGGTCTGTTCCCAGCTCTGACTCTGAATTTGCTTTGTGACTATATACAAATCATTTAACCTCTTTGTGTCTTAGTGTCAACCTATAATAATAATCAGTTACTATATTTTCCTTACAGTGGTGATGAGGATTCGTTAGTTTGATGTTTACAAAGCATTTTAGTCAGTTAGGTTTCTAAAGTTAGGCACCTCAGTCCAAATTTTGCTGTCTATTTCAAACAAATGCACTGATTTTTCAGGGATAGTGAAGACCTGCCATTTTCAAGTGGGAGTTGTAGGTACTCAGCATGCTCTGGGGTTGTCAATTTGACTCCTTTCATGAGCATTTATTATTTATTGTTTATTAAGAAAATACCTGATATACCAGTGTCAGAAGATTATAGATTTGTTATAGACTCATGGACTTTAAGGTCAGAAAGGGACTATCATGATCATCTAGTCCACTGTTTCTCAAATGCGGCCACCAGGGGGTTTCCCTGCAGCCAGGAAAGCTTCCTGGGCAGTGATGGGGGAGGAAGCATCAGCCCCTCCCCTTCCTCCCTGTTGCTCCTGGACGAGTGGTGAGCCAGCAGTGAGCGGGGGTTCTCATGGCATGCAGGGGGGCGTCTGGCAGGGGACTGAGGAGGTGAGCGGCAGGTGGGGGGCTGAGAGCAGGTGAGCAGCAGGTGGGGGACTGAGGAGGGACGCAGCAAGCCAGCAGCAAGTGGGGGGGGGTGAGGAGGGACGCAGTGGCAGGGAGGCAACCCCCCTCCCAAACCTTACATAAATAAATTACAATGATTTAGATGTATATATGTGCATATTACTTTATTAACTTTTGGAAAAATAAATAATTTTAGGAAAAAGGTGTCAGTGCGGCACCAGCAAGAGTTGGTGGCCGCACTCTGAGGCCACCAAAAAATTTGTTGTGAGAACCCCTGGACTCGTCTGACCTCCTGCACATCGCAGGCCACACAATGTCACCCACCCACTCCTGTAATAGACCCATAACCTCTGGCTGCATTACTGAAGTCCTCAAATCATGATTTAAAGACTTCAAGTTACAGAGAATTGAACAATTTACACTAGTTTAAACCTGCAAGTGACTCATGCCCCATGGTGCAGAGAAAACTGGGGGGGGGGGGACCCATTTAAATCACTGATTTTTTTTCTTAATGGACTGTAGCAAACTTAATTTCTTGCTTTTAAGGCAATGTAACTAACCTAACCTCATGGACTCTTCACTCACAAGTTTATGTTTTGAATGTTTTTTTCCACTACTAGACAGTATGTTTTAGAGTTTAATGCAACAGTTCCTTTTGTAATAGTGTCTTCCTTTTATGAAGGTCTATGATAAACAACTCATTTGAGGCCCTTCCCAGGAAACTGTGTACTGAAATGCCTTTTATTAACTGGATGTAAGTACATTATGCAAAAGGTTTATCTGGTTATTTACTCAAATAAATTGTTAACATTTAAGGGTGGAATTTTCAAAAACACTCAACATTGGCATAACTCAGCTCCCATTGAAGTCAATAGCCAACACTGAGCACTTTCAAAAACCTCATCCTAAAACATTAAATTATGGTTGTCCGAAAATTGTCACTTGGCCTCTCTGAAGATAACAGAACGAATCAGATGTGGAGTTTTTAGGTCAAGCCATTTTTGAGAGTTGTACATTCCCAAAACAGCATCAGGAAATTTGCAAAAGTTGAACTCTCCCGTGTTTCAAACCATCATCTGACAGGTGCCTCAACCAGTTGTCTACAAACTTAAATATAGAAAGTTGCCCCTTCTGACACCGGTGTCCCTCTTCTTACATCGGTGACACTCCTCTGCTGATGCAGTAGCAGAATTCTGGGGCAGGTGAGCTTCCTAATGGGGAGGAATTCGGTGATGCAGAATCTGGGTATATTCTAATTGTAACTTGATATCTATAATTCACTCTTCCAGAAATCTTACCCCACATATCAATGCTCCAAATTTACCCTGTCGTAAGAATTTCCTCCAAATATAGAGATTAAAGCCAGGAGCAAACTCTCTTCTATCTGCCACAGATTCTCCCCACACAACAAAACTAGCAATAGAGCATTTCTTAACAGACTAAAAACTTGTTCTCAGTCTTCCAAGTTCTGTTTCTTAGCATATGTGTAACAGTGCCACCTGCTGATGCCTGCTGCCATAATAATCTATATCGGGGTGGTCAAATTGCGGCTCGTGAGCGGCATGCGGCTCTTTTACAGTTAAAGTGTGGCTTGTGGAGCTCCCCACGCCTCCCTTGCCCCAGTCTGGTAGGCGACCCTGTGGCGGGGTGGTGGGCTAGGGGCTTCTGCCAGAGATGACTGGTGCCTGCTGAGGGGGGGCACCATTAAAAGGTTTCCCCCAACAGCTTGAGTCCTGCCCCCCCTTACTTTCAGCTGCCACCCACCCCCGCATCTCCCAGCTGTTAGCTCCCCATGGAGAGGCAGTGGCAAACAGCTGGAAGCGGCAGGGAGGGCCGCTCCTTCAGCTCCATGGGGAGAGGCAGCAGCAAAAGTAGCAGCTCTCCCTGCAGCTCCCAGCTGTTTGCCATTGCCTCTCCCCATGGCCGGAGCTCCCATCTTGCCAGCTCCAGCAGCTGCTGTGCAGGGAGGGGCCCAGCGGCACCATGTGACTGAGTGGGGCCAGCAAACCCTGGCAAAAATCAGAGGGGGACACATAACCCCCTCACGCTTTGCCTCTGGCTTCTGACCAGCAGGGTGGAGGGGGAGAGGGGGGTCTCGGGGCTTCAGCAGGAAATGGGCTGAATGGGTCCCAAGCCCTGGCAGGCGCACCCCGGCTCTTGATTGTTGTATGCGGCTTGGAGGGTCAGTAAATTTGGCCACCCCTGATCTGTATACTTCAGTACACAGACTACACATGAGAAATGTCAGGCAGGTTGGTTTAGTTCTGATGAAATGAGAGAGGGGATGGTCACAATCAGGGCCTGCTCCAGGGTTTTTGCCGCCCCAAGCAGCTCTCCCCCCGCCCCCCCAAAAAAACAACCCGCGATCGCGATCTGCGGCACTTCGGCGGGAGGTCCTTCGCTCCGAGCTGGAGTGAGGGACCCACTGCCGAATTGCTGCGGAAGAGACGGACATGCCGCCCCTCTCCGGCGTGGCCGCCCCAAGCACCTGCTTGGTAAGCTGGTGCCTGGAGCCGACCCTGGTCACAATTGGGCCAGTACCAGAGTTTCCTTTCTTTGACATTTATGTTTATGTCCTGGAATAAGGGATGGTTTGGAAAGAAATGTAGTAAAAAAGTTCAAAAGCACAAAAACAGCCCAGAGCCTTGGGGCCACTGCCATGAAAATATTTGTATGATTTGTTCATAAAAAGTAAATAAAAACTCTTGTTTTTCATTCAGGGATTTTGAAGGCAATCGTATCGAGACCTTAACTAATACCACCTTCCTGGAATGTGATGCACTCACAGTACTGTAAGTAAATAAACAGTTCATAAAATGACAGCAATAAAAACTCCTTAAATCATATTATTCAACACATGGTTTGTTTCCATTCATAACTCCTAGTCAGGGACACTTCTGCTTCATAGCATTTTGTCAAGGGAACAATCTTTATTGTTAATTAACTAATAATAATTAGTTATTTTATGCACAGCCTTCAGGAGCCTTTTGGAAATGGTCATTTTATCAGTTGGTTCAACAAATAGAATAAGAATTAGACAACTTCTGTTGTTTCTGCCTTATGATCAGATCCCTCTTTAAGTTAACGTGTCAAGACCAGGAGCCTAATATCAGACAGAAACAAAGCTGATGTTGAAGAAGGGCATTCAGCTGCATTGGTGTTTACCATGTGAGTTGTGGCTATACGACAATATCTCTTTGTCAGTAACAAGATTCTTCGGTCAGTTTCCCAGGTTATGCCAAGTAGAATTTGGAGGGGATTCACATGCACCTGGAGAGCTTTCTGGAGATCAAGAAAAAGGATAAGTACCTGCATTTTACACATGCTGATTTTTTCCAGTTGGGGTCTCTAGAGTAGGACTGTGTGAAATTCAGGGGGATTTACAGAGCAAAAACCTGATGCTACATTTTGAGTATTTAAGATTCTTGTCTATAGACCAAAGCCATCAGCCTTTAATCAGTCAAATTCTCCATTGCCTTCAGGGAGAGCTTTGTTTGATTAAGTACCTCAGAACTTAGCTCAACACAATTGCTTTTGAGCTGAATAAAAAAGTACAATATGTCACCGCTTGTGAAAATGAGCCTGGTCCTATGTAAATTCCAATTCAACTAGAAAAACTATAAAGCCAGAAACAACTATATTAAAACATTAAACTGTTACTTTAACATCTATTTAATGTCACAGTTTTCTTTGTGGAAATCAAATTCGTTTTGTGCCTGAAAAGACATTTTCTTCATTAAGAGATCTGGGAGAACTGTGAGTTGTTGATCTGTTTTTGAATGATAGTTATGGTCTGTTACATTTTAGTAATTTGTGGGAGTGAATAATTAAGAGGCACATGCAGTGTATTCTCCCTTCCTTGTAAACCAACACTGGAGAAGAGCAGAAGATAGCTCTAGCACTCTCTTGAATCCTAAAAGGGGGACTCGGTTACTAAACTAGCTGGTGTTCCATGTCTAAGGGAACATGTGCAAATAGCTGGAGAGGGAGTAGAAGTCTAGAAGGGAAGGGTAAATAATGGATCATTGGTGTCTGGAGTAGGGTGACCAGATGTCCCGATTTTATAAGGACAGTCCCGATATTTGGGGCTTTTTCTTATATACCCCCCCTCACCCCCGTCCCGATTTTTCACACTTGCTGTCTGATCAGCCTAGTCTGGAGAGAGGGACATGACGAGTGATTAGAATTGACTGTCATTGGCAGCTGAAGAGAGAGGAGTAGGTGGAGCTGTTAATTGGTAGGGGGTTTGGCTTGCCAGAATGTTGAAACTTTTGAGAGGTGGGCAGGGCATTCAGTAATGTGATTCTGTATAAAATTAGTTGGTTCATCATATTCTTCAATCTTCACAGTGTTGAATGCACTCTTTTTTTTCTTACTCTAACTGTACTAAAATGTAAAAATTGCAGCTCAATATAGCAAACAGATGATTAATGTTTAGTAATCACCAGACTCCAATGCATGCATTTAATCAATTCAACATCCCAAAAGAGGAAGGATGTTGTAAGAAACAAGTGATAGAATGGACTGAAGCAATGCAAACAAATAATTCTTCTCAAGTGAAATGGAAGCGTTTGTCATGAGCTGTTAAGTAACAGGATAGAAGGGATTCCGGCTAATGTTAAAAGTGCAGAAAATCTGTTCCTTTGGCTTCCTCAAGATCAAATATGCTATTGAATGAAACTTTATCTATTGAAATGGAAGAGCACAACACTGATGATGATTCCCAATGGTTTTGGTCTTTATTTTTCTCCCAGGGACCTCTCCAACAACTTAATTACAGAATTACCACATTATATTTTTGAAGATCTGAAACATTTACAAAAACTGTAAGTCACAAATCAGATTTTTAGAATATTGTCGTTTGGCTTGATTTTTTTTTTCTAAATTCTGAGCAATAAGCAATTTTTTTGTTTTTTTCAGTAACTTGTCTTGCACTCCACTTTCTCAGCTGTATGGGGATCAGTTTGACAGTCTTCAACAACTTGAGTCTTTGTAAGTGAAGAATTGAAATATGTTACATAGTGTATTGAATGGTATGCCTCTAAGCCAGGAGAAATATTGATTAATTATAATAGGCCTGATACTGTGAGATACTGAACAAAGGGACATAAGGGCAGTCAGCACATCACTGATAGGTGCTCAGTACCTAGATGTATCAGGCCCAAAATGTATAATTCACAGCCACAAAGATTGATAAAGTTTACTGCCGTGTTCAACAGTAAGCCTAGGAGCAACCAAAGAGTTCAGACAAAAAATAAATTATACATCTCCTACAGCGCATAGGCTGATGGGCAAGACATGTAAGTCACAGACAGGCAAAACTAAGAAGTCAATGAGACAATAGTGTAGGGAAGAGGGATTTAGGTTTATTAGGAACTGGGGAACCTTTGGGGGGAAAGTGACCTATACAGAAGGGATGGGCTCCATCTAAACTAAAATAGAACCAGACTGCTGGCACATAAAATGAAAAAGATTGTAGAGGACCCTTTAAACTAAGGGCTGGAGGAAAGCCTACAGATGCGGAGGTTTGGGCAGAGACGTCCCTTAGGGATGAACTTATTGAAAGGGGAACTCTATATCCTAGTAAAATGCATAAGAAAGAAATTGGTAAAGTAGAGGTAGGAGCTAATGAGGAACAGTCAAACAAAATGGAGTCCCATTTTAAAATAACACATGAAGGCAAGCAACTGAATAGTGACAAAATGTACAAATGCCAGAAGTCTAAATACTAAGATGGGGGAACTTGAGTGCCTGATATTAAATGAGGCTATTGATATAATAGGCATCATAGAAACTTGGTGGAATGAGAGTAATCAATGGGAGATAGTACTATCAGGGTGTAATATATAGGAATGACAGAGTAGTTCACCCTCATGGGGGAGTGGCATCATATGTACAAGAAAGCATAGAATCAAATAAGGTAAAAATCTTACATGAAATAAACTGTACTACAGAATCTCTACAGATAGAAATTCCATGCTTGAATAGTAAGAGTATAGCAGTAGGAATATACTACTGACCACCAGACCAGGATGGTGACAGTAGTTGTGAAATGCTAAGGGACGTTAGAGAGTCTACAATAGTAGAAAGCGCACTCATAATGGGTGATTCCAACTATCCTCATATTGATTGGGTGAATTGTATCGCAGGGCATGAAGAACAGATAAAAGGTCTAGGTGCCATTAATGTCTGCTTCTTGGAGTCCTGGAACCCACAATGGGAGAGGCAATTCTCGATAGAGTTCTAAGTGGAGCACAGGTTCTAGTCCAAGAGGTAACTGTAGCTGAGCTGCTCAGTAATAGTGACCATAATGTAACTAAATTTAACATCCTTGTAAGGGGGGCGGGGGGGGGGGGAGAATGCCCCCAAAAACCCACCATTGTAACATTTAACTTTAAAAAAGGAGAACTACACAAAAATGAGGATGCTTGTTAGACAGAAATTGAAAGGAGCTGTCACAAGGGTTAAATGACTGCAAGCAACATGGAGGCTATTTAAAAACACTACCATAGCGACTCAGACTAAATGTATACCCCAAATCAGAAAGGACAATAAAGGGACCAAAAGAATGTCACCATGACTAAACAGCAGAGTAATAAGCAACAGAGGGTCCTGTGGCACCTTTAAGACTAACAGAAGTATTGGGAGCATAAGCTTTCGTGGGTAAGAACCTCACTTCTTCAGATGCAACTGAAGTGATGTTGCATCTGAAGAAGTGAGGTTCTTACCCACGAAAGCTTATGCTCCCAATACTTCTGTTAGTCTTAAAGGTGCCACAGGACCCTCTGTTGCTTTTTACAGATTCAGACTAACACAGCTACCCCTCTGATACTTGACAGCAGAGTAATGGCAGCCATTAAAGGCAAAAAGGTATCCTTCAACATTAGGAAGTCAAAACCTAGTGAGGATAATAGGAAGGAACACAAACTCTGGCAGGTTAACTGTGAAAGCATAAGAAGGCAGGCCAAGAAAGAATTTGAGAAGCAACTTGCTAAAGACACAAAAAGTAACATTAGACTTTTTAAAAGTACATTAGAAGCAGGAAGCCTGCCCAACAGGCAGTGGGGCCACTAGATGACAAAGATGGTAAAGGAGCACAGTTCAAGGAAGACAAGCCCATTGCAGAGAAGCTAGTTAAAAAATAGGTAACAAAGTTTTCAGTTTTCACAATGGAGAGGGTAAGCAGTGGGGGTGGGGGGCTCAAGAATCTGTACTGGGTCCTGTGCTGTTCAACATATTTGTTCATTATTCACTTCCTTTTCCAGATCATTCAGTGGTTAAGTTTGCGGATGATACAAAATTATTCAAGATAGTTACATCCAAAGCTGACTGCAAAGAGTTATAAAGAGATCTCACAAAACAGGTTGTCTGGGGGGAAAATGGCAGATGAAATTCAATGCTCAAGTGGGTCCACAGTCCTGGATCATCTAGACTTAAGGAACTAAACTCAGTAGCAGCAGTTTCTTGCGCCTCCACCACACTCTTCTCTGATCTATACTTTTCTTCAGGAATGTGCATGGTAACATCAATTTGAGATGGAGACATGGATGTTGCAGTAGCTGCCAGGTCACCTGCACTCTGACTAACTGGAAGATCAGGCATCTCCTCACCACTCACATCCCCACAGGGGCCAGAAGGCTCATTGTGAACATTTGTGTCTATGTATCTCAGGAGAGCTCCTTCCTGCTTAGATAGAAAAGCTTCCTTTGCTTTCTTTTTCTGAATGCTGCCCCAGAGGGGCGTTTTCTTCTTTCACTCATGATTGCTGTTCTGTGCCAGCTATAGTGGCTCTCAACATCAATTGAAGGGGACAAATAAGCAGGCTGGTAGCAGGGCCTGAGTGAGGGAAGATATCAGCGTCTTAAGGGCCTAACTGGCTCCTACTACTTCAGTTGGCTGCCTGTTCACCTCAAGTGGGGTCAGGGAAGCAGCAGGAAACTGGAAGCTCCCTGAGAAGCTGGTGTTAATCAGTCCAGGCTCCTGGGGGTGCTAGAGAGGTACATAAAGGCTCCTCCTCCTCCTCTCTTTTCCTGCAGCTCCTGCTGCTTTCTGTTATTCCCTCTCACCTTTTCTCCGGCCTGCCTGTTATATCTCTCGTGCCCTCCTTCCTCCAGCACAGCACTCCACCATCTCTGTGCATCTAGAGCAGAGAGAATACATATGCACCAGCAGCAGACACAATTTTCTACACTCTGGGTCCTAATGGCGCTCCCTCCTCCTCTTCCCCAATCTGGCACCTGAGGTGGCCGCCTCAGTTCACCTCATGGTAAGGCCAGCCCTGCACCCATCAGACCAGTCAGCCTCAACCAACTCAAGTTGTTCTGGTGCCACAGTGGCCTCTGGTGGGCAAAAGGCAGAACTGCACCACATTTTCTGCAGGAAAAAAAATTCTGCCTCATGTGGAACTCCCCATAATGTGGCCAGTGGCAGCAGGGCAGCAAAATAGACCAAAATACCACAACTCTTAACTGCTAAAAAACCCTGGCAACTGTCATCTAAAAATAGTCCAATTGGGCTAGAAAATCACATACTTGGCAACCCCCTTAGAATGCTGGCACCCCCAATGCATGTGCTACTGTGCCTAATTGGAAATCCGGCCCTGGTTAAGGGTATGGAATGGCTTCAATGTGAGGAGAGACTAAAATGATTAGGGCTGTTCAGCTTAGAAAAGAGATGATTAAGGGGAGAAACAATAGAAGTCTATAAAATCATGAATGGTGTGGAAAATGTGAACAGAGAATTTTTTTTACCCTTTCCCACAATACACAATGAAATAAAAAGGCAGCAGGTTTAATGCAAACAAGAGGAAGTACTTTTTCACACAGTGCAAAATTAACCTGTGGAACTCATTGCCATGGGATTTTGTGATGGCCAAAAGTATAATTGGGTTAAAGAAAGAACTAGATATGTTCTTGGAGAGATAGGTCCATCAATCGCTATTAGTCAAAATGGTCAGGGATGTAACCCCAGACTCAGGGTGACCTTAAATCTCTGACTGCAGAAGCCAGGAGGAATACACAGGGATCGATCTCTCCAAATTGTTCTGTATACTCCCCCTGAAGCTCTAGTACTAGCTCCTATCAGAGACAGAATCCTGGGCTAGATGGACCTTGGTCTGACCCAGTATGGTAGGTCTTATGTTCTTATGTTCCAGAATGTTTGCTGCAATTTATTCCTCTGTAAAGCTTTCTTTTAGATTGCTATGATTTCAATAGAGGTAATTCATAGCAATCATAATTTATAAAATAGGTACACTATAAAAGTTTGAATTCAAAAGATTTTCTGTTTCCCCCTACTTAGGGTCAAGGTCTGCCCTTGTATGCCCAATCTGTGATTCCCTTCTGCATGTCATGTTCATGCCAAAAATACGTATTCCAGACTTCTCATGTTTGCAGGTGAAACACAAGAATATAGTACAACTTTAAAATTTTTACCATCACATTGATGTACTATATGGGCTTTTTCCAGTAATCTGCAGAAATGGAAAGTTAAACATTAATTTCGTATTGTTGAGTTTCTAGCTATTCTATTTTTGTTAATTTGTCTATTTTGCTATTCTGTCTGAATGTTCAAAATGCTCTACTGAGCAAAAAAGGCAATTCTTTACTTCAAAAGGCTCAGATCGTTTCAGATATAAGTTGGTACTAACCACAAACTGTTCTTAGTAGCTCTCCTATGCGTCATCTTTTGATACCTTTCCCCTATCTTGCCTTACCATAAAAATCATTGATGTTCAAAGCCTGCATTGTGCTGTGACCCGAAGTGAGGATGCCAAGATATGGTGTCTGAATCAGAATGGTTTTTCTATTTGGATTATTTTAAGTACATTCCAGCGCTTCATTTCATGATCATTCACAGAACAAATATAGCGAGTGTAACTGTTCCTATAAATCTTCCAGTCCTGGAAGAGACCACAGAAGCAGGATAGCATTAGGAAGACAGGGAACTCTTTTGAAATTTGAATGGGTATATATGCTGAAAGTAAATAAACTTGAGCAATCCAGAAAAGTTTGGTTGTTTTGAATATGGGAGCGCACACACCAGTCTTTGATAGGTATGTTACTACTCATACAGCACCTACCTATCTGTCAAGATTAGCAATATGATTTATCTATTCAAATTAGAAGGAATGTAACACAAAAAGAAACCTGTAAACATTTCTTGCTGCTTTAAAAAGTCACCAGTGTTATCATTTTTATATAATGTGACCAGGTGTAAAGTCAAAAGATCAAAATCCAAAGTAAAGTACTAGTACCTGTGGCATGTTCCTTATTGAGTTCAGACACTTCTGAACCCAAATTTCATACATCATCTCAGGGGAAGCCCTATAGCAAGAATACTGCATTAGAGCTGCCGGGCCCAGTTAACGCAGTTGCTGACCAGTGCAATTTAACTAGATACCTCTATTTGTATATCCTGGCTCATTGTTGAAAGGATCTGTGAGTTCTGTCTTGTCTTTTGACCAATACATCTGGACAAGGTTCTTTTGTATGTCCGTTGCTTTGAGAATACACAAAACACGGGGGAGAAGTGCCCTCTGAAACCTGTAAACTCCGCACTGACAGCCTTGCATATATGTAAAAGCAGTCTGTAAAATACTATTGTAATGCAGGCAAATTTCTGACATACTTCCAAAATTCACCTTCTAAATTGCACAGGATATACACCAGCATAAATACAAAATAATTGAGGTCAGTGGAGTTACTCTGGATTTATGCCGGTGTACCTGGGATCAGAATCTGGCCCAAAGTGATTTATACTGTAACTGATAATGTGTAATAGAAGCTAGGTCTCTCAGCAGATTCAAATAAATGATGGTTCAGTATTATAGGGCTGTCAATAAATTGCAGTTGACTCAAGCAATTAACTTAAAACATATTAACTCGATTAAAAAATTTAATCACAATCACAGTTTTAATCGCACTGTTAAACAATAATAGAATACCAATTTAAATTTATTATAAATATTTGTGGATGTTTTTCTACATTTTCAAATATATTGATTTCAATTACAACATAGAATACAAAGTGTACAGTGCTCACTTTATATTATTTTTATTACAAATATTTGCACTGTAAAAAAAATAAACAAAATAAATAGTATTTTTCAATTCACCTCATACAAGTACTGTGATGTGATCTCTTTATTGTGAAAGTGCAATTTACAAATGTAGATATTTTTGTTACATAACTGCACTCAAAAATAAAACAATGTGAAACTTTAGAGTCTACAAGCCCACTCAGTCCTACTTCTTGTTCAGCCAATTGCTAAGACAAACAATTTTGTTTGCATTTACGGGAGATAATGCTGCCCACTTCTTATTTACAATGTCACCTGAAAGTAGGGTGACCAGACAGCAAATGTGAAAAATCGGGATGGGGTGGGGGGCAATAGGAACCTATACAAGAAAAAGACCCAAAAATCGGGACTGTCCCTATAAAACCAGGACATCTGGTCACCCTACCTGAAAGTGAGAACAGGTGTTCGCATGGCACTTTTGTAGTTGGCATTGCAAGCTATTTATGTGCCAGATATGCTAAACATTCATATGCCCCTTCATGCTTTGGCCACCATTCCAGAGGACATACTGATGATGCGTGTTAAAAAAAAAAAGTGCTAATTAAATTTATGATTGAACTCCTTGGGGGGACAATCGTATGTCTTCTGCTCTGGTTTTACCCACATACTGCCATAACATGAAATATATGGCAGAATTTCTGCATCCTTTTTGGTTGTCCATTGACAAATAGATTCATATTATAAACATCAATCTATAATCAGCCAAATTTATAATTTATTGTAAATTAGACTGAAGTTTATATTAATGGAATACAGGTAGGTATGGTTAATCTATACCTGGTTTATCTGTGCATGTGCATCTCCCAATGGCATCAATGCATACAGATAAATCAGGTACTTATTGTCATGCACAGGTACCAGTTTGATTTATTAATCTTAATCTTTTAAATCCCAATTAAAAGGAGGTTGCTAAAAGATGCAAGATAACCAGGTCCAATTACACTTTTTTCTCTGTATAAATCAACAAAATTAGTCTTAAAATTTATCCACAAAACTTAGAGCATGAATGTGTGACTGCTATATGCTATTGTTAACTATAATGTGTCTTTCAAAAATGGATTCCTTTAAGATATCAGCAGGGAATCTGAACATAGTGATATATAGAAATCGCTGAACTGGGGCATTTATTTAAAATAAAATCAATACACTAAGTTTTGACTGATCTAAAAAGCTTTACATCTGTAGTTATTTGAACTATACACTCTTTGTGAGTGTACAGTCTTTTGAACAGTAGTTTGCAAAAGAAGGCAGAAACTACATTTTCTAAACCATTTGAGACTATTTGGACTCAAAGACTTTTGTAGATTTTGGGAGCAGTGAGGGGAGGTTGTCTTTTGTTTTTTGTTTGTTTTGCTTTTTTTTACATTTTTGGTATCCTTAAAATATTTTCTGTTATAGTTTGCTGAAAGTAGTGTCATAAAGAATTGGATATCTGGCATATTTACAATATTCTGTTGGACTCCCTTCATTCCTTTATAAACATGGTGTATTCCTTAAGGATTTCAGGGCACAATAACCCTAATAATCAGCCAGGAAATGATAGTTCTTTGAGACTGAGATCTCATATCACTGGACACTCCAATTAGTGAATCCCAGATTAGTGGAGACAAAACATATATTATACCTGACATATGGAAATAGTAAATAGGCCAATTATGGCACCATCAAGTGCTTTCTTTAATGACCTGAAAATCAAAAAGGAAACCTACAAAATATGGAAACGTGGACAACTTGCTAAGGAGGAGTATAAAAGAAACGCACAAGCTTGTAAGGACAAAATCAGAAAGGCTAAGGCGCAAAATGAGTTACGCCTAACAAGGGACATAAAAGGCAATCAGAAGAGGCTCTTTAAATACATTAGGAGCAAGAGAAAGACAAAGGAAAGTGTAGGTCTTTGACTTAGTGGGAAAGGTGACCCTTAACAGATGACATCAAGAAGGCTGAGGTGTTTAATGGCTATTTTGCTTCAGTCTTCACTAAAAAGGTTAAGGGTGACCAGCTACTGAACACAATTAACAAGAGGGAAAGAAGGCAAGCCAAAATAGGAAAAGAACGGGTTAAAGAATATTTAGATAAGTTAGATGTATTCAAGTCAGCAGGGACTCATGAAATTCATCTGAAGATACTTAAGGAACTAGCTGAAACAATCTCGGAACTGTTAGCAATTATCTTTGAGAACTCCTGGAGGATGGGTGAAATCCTCTGGGATTGGAGAAGGGCAAACATAGTGCCTGTCTTTAAAAAGGGGAACAAAAAGGACCTGGAGAATGATAGACCAGTTAGCCTAACTTCAATACTTGGAAAAATACTGGAACAAATTATTAAACAATAGATATGTAAGCATCTAGCGGATAATAGGGTTATAAGGAATAGCCAGCATGGAATTTGTCGAGAACAAATCTGCCAAACCAACCTAATTTCCTTCTTTGATAGGGTTACTGGCCCAGTGGATGGAGAAGGAGCAGTAGACATGATATATCTTGACTTTTAGTAAAGGCTTTTGACAGTCCCCCATGACATTCTCATAAGCAAACTCAGGGAAATGTGGGCTTGATTAAATTACTATGAGGTGGGTGCACAACTGGTTGAAAGATCATATTCAAAGCGTACTTAATAATGGTTTGCTATCAGACTGGGAGTGTGTATCTACTGTGGCTTTGCAGGGATCAGTCCTGGGTCCAGTACTATATTTTCTTTAATGGCTTGGATAATGGAGTGGAGAGTATGATTATAAAATTTGTGGATGACCCCAAGCTGGGAGTGGTTGCAAGCACTTTGGAGGTCAGGATTAGAATTCAAAATGACCTTGACAAATTGGAGAATTGGTCTGAAATCAACAAGATGAAATTCAATAAAGAGAAAAGCAAAGTACTACACTTAGGAAGGAAAAGTCAAATGTACAACTACAAAATGGGGAATAACTGGCTAGGTGGTAGCACTGCTAAAAAGGATCTGGGGGTTATATTGGATAACAACTTGAATGTAAATCAACAATGTGATGAGTTGTGAAAAAGGCTAATATCATTCTGGGGTGTGTTGACAAGAATGGCGTGTGTCAGACATGGGAAGTAATTGTCCTGCTCTACTTGGCACAGGTGAGGCCTGAGCTAGAGTAGTGTGTCCAGTTCTGGGTGCCATGTTTAGGAAAGATGTGGGCAAATTGCAGAGAACCCAGAGGAAAGTAATGAAAATGATAAAAGATTTAAAAAACCTGGCCTATGAGGAAAGGTTAAAAACACTGGGCATGTCTAGTCTTGAGAAAAGAAGACTGAGGGGGGACTTGATAATAGTTTTCAAATTTGTTAAGTGTTTTATTTTATTAGACAGGCTATGATCAATTGTCCTCCACGTTCACTGAAGGGAGGACAAGAAGTAATGGGCTTAATATGCAGCAAGAGAGAGTTAGTTAAGATATTAGGAAAACCTTTCTAACTATAAGGATAGTTAAGCTCTGGATAGGCTTCCAAGGTAGGTTGTAGAATCCTCTTAATTGGAGGTTTTTAAGAATGGGTTGAACAAACACCTGTCAGGTTTACTAGACCATTTAACACAGGAGCCTGGACTTGATGACCTCAAGGTAGCTTCCAGTCCTATACATTTCTATGATTCTATACTCTTCTATAAACAAGCTCACTGTGATGAACAAAATACTAAGAGTAGTCTTGTTGAAATAGCATATTGTGCATTGTGCTCAGGCTACTTATTACCATGTGATTTGGGAAATACACTTTTTCGTGTAATTCAGGATGTGATAACTAAAATAAAACTATTTCAAAGTTTGTTTATAGATAACGAAATTTACTTCTTTTCCAGAGACCTGGAACTATAGAGATTCCAAATATAAATTCAAGAATGTTTCAGCCCCTGAAGAACCTTTCCTATATGCATGTATGGAAAATAGCAGACATCATGGTGACATTTCTTTAGCATATAAGAATGTACAAAGTAGCTCTGATTAAGTCTTTCCATATTATTAAATACTAAAATATTTGTCACAATGGAGTCCAGTTTCTGCCAAAAATGTTAAGTATATCATTTTATACAAATAAAATAAAGAAAAATACATTTTCTCCATGTAATTCATATTTCCATAGGGCATCACCCCTCTCTTCCCCACACAGTAACCACTTTTATGACATCGGGTGGTGGGGGTTTCTGCCTGATTACTTGGAAGAAGCAGAATAGCTCTTCAAGTGATTAACATCATAAGAGAGGTAGAGTTACCCAAAAATTTACTGTATGCAAAGAGTACGTATCTTTTGGCTGGGGGAAGAGCTGTATATGTTTGTGCAGACAGTTTCACGTGACTATTTTCCTCTACTGTCATGTCTCAGTAGCTTCATAACATGTCATAGCTTGTAGTACTATTGGATGCCTCTGAACTACAAAACACTTTTTTTTCCTATTTTTGAGGCAGAGGACCCCAGCTTATGGAACATGTTTTCTCTCACCTCATTGACCCCAGCCAGGACACATGCCACAAGGTCTCTCTCCTCTCCAAGGCAGTGACTATAGGGTCAATCCCACTCTAACTGAACATCTTTAATCTTTTGCTCTAGCGCTTCATTCTAGGCTGCCTTTTTTTTCTTTTGTGGCTCCCTCATAATATTCACATTCAGGGCCGGCTCTACCACCATTTTTGCCGCCCCAAGCAAAAAAAAAAAAAAAAAAGTCGCTCAGACTGCCGCCCAAACTGCCGAAGCAAAAAAAAACGCTCGGACTGTGCCGCCCCAAGAATGGATGGAATGCCGCCCCTTAGCATGTGCCGCCTCAGGCACGTGCTTCCTCCGCTGGTGCCTGGAGCCGGCCCTGTTCACATTTGCTACATCTCTACCATGACACAGAATGTAAGCAGTCTGCAGCAAGTGTGCAGTGTTCTTCTTCACTTTGTTTCTAGAGCTCAAATTATACTCTGTCCGATATCCCTCAACTCTTCTTGAAAACTGAAAGCTTCATAATTTTCCTAGCTTCCCCATGCCATCAAAGTGTGAAACTTAAATTGATTTCTGTATGATTGGCAGACCCACCCACTAAACAGCTGGGTCACACCTACATGCTGTCATTTGGCATATCAACTTTCATACATTTCACAATAATTTCAGAAAAATAGTGTCTTCTAATGAATATTTTCCCATTTTAATTTTATTGCGTATTTGTATCTTTCATGTTTTTATACTTTTGATATTCGTTAACAATTTATTATCCACGTGCATCATTTCATGTTGCGGAGAAACTAAATGGATTCTTTGCTTCAGTCTTCACGGCTGAGGATGTTAGGGAGATTCCCAAACCTGAGCCAGCTTTTGTAGGTGACAAATCTGAGGAACTGTCACAGATTGAAGTGTCACTAGAGGAGGTTTTGGAATTAATTGATAAACTTAACATTAACAAGTCACCGGGACCAGATGGCATTCACCCAAGAGTTCTGAAAGAACTCAAATGTGAAGTTGCGGAACTATTAACTAAGGTTTGTAACCTGTCCTTTAAATCGGCTTCTGTACCCAATGACTGGAAGTTAGCTAATGTAACGCCAATATTTAAAAAGGGCTCTAGAGGTGATCCCGGCAATTACAGACCGGTAAGTCTAACGTCGGTACCGGGCAAATTAGTCGAAACAATAGTAAAGAATAAAATTGTCAGACACCTAGAAACACACAAACTGTTGAGCAATAGTCAACATGGTTTCTGTAAAGGGAAATCGTGTCTTACTAATCTATTAGAGTTCTTTGAAGGGGTCAACAAACATGTGGACAAGGGGGATCCAGTGGACATAGTGTACTTAGATTTCCAGAAAGCCTTTGACAAGGTCCCTGACCAAAGGCTCTTACGTAAATTAAGTTGTCATGGGATAAAAGGGAAGGTCCTTTCATGGATTGAGAACTGGTTAAAAGACCGGGAACAAAGGGTAGGAATTAATGGTAAATTCTCAGAATGGAGAGGGGTAACTAGTGGTGTTCCCCAAGGGTCAGTGCGCGGACCAGTCCTATTCAACTTAATTATAAATGATCTGGAGAAAGGGGTAAACAGTGAGGTGGCAAAGTTTGCAGATGATACTAAACTGCTCAAGATAGTTAAGACCAAAGCAAACTGTGATGAACTTCAAAAAGATCTCACAAAACTAAGTGACTGGGCAACAAAATGGCAAATGAAATTTAATGTGGATAAATGTCAAGTAATGCACATTGGAAAAAATAACCCCAACTATACATACAATATGAGGGGGCTAATTTAGCTACAACAAGTCAGGAAAAAGATCTTGGAGTCATCGTGGATAGTTCTCTGAAGATGTCCGCGCAGTGTGCGGAGGTGGTCAAAAAAGCAAACAGGATGTTAGGGATCATTAAAAAGGGGATAGAGAATAAGACTGAGAATATATTATTGCCCTTATATAAATCGATGGTACGCCCACATCTCGAATACTGCGTACAGATGTGGTCTCCTCATCTAAAAAAAGATATACTGGCACTAGAAAAGGTTCAGAAAAGGGCAACTAAAATGATTAGGGGTTTGGAACGGGTCCCATATGAGGAGAGATTAAAGAGGCTAGGACTCTTCAGCTTGGAAAAGAGGAGACTAAGGGGGGATATGATAGAGGTATATAAAATCATGAGTGATGTGATTTAAACTCTGTCAATCTAAAGGTTTGGGAGGTGTTAGAACCAAGAGCATAGATGCTACTATAAAGTATTATAAGTTATATTTCCATGGACAGCAGGTATCATAGACTGTGAGAGGCTGTGCCTCCCCAAACAGCCAGGTGTGGCCCCACCCACAATCCGCCCTCAGACCCCCCCATCCTGCTTCCCACTCGGTGTTGCTCCAGTCCCCCTGTGAGGTATCCCCAGATCAGACTGGTGGCATGCCGCCTGCCCTCCCAGCGCTCCGAGGCTGAGGAGGCTGGAGCTGCGCCGCCTGCCCTCCTGGCGCTCTGGGGCTGGGGAGGCTGCGGCCGCAGCACCCACTCTTCTGGGGCTGGGGGCACTAGCCTGCGGCTGAGGCCAGCGGTTGGAGGGCTCTGGACTCTGGCAGGGGGGCATGGAAGGGGCAGGGCCTCGGGTGGAAGGACGTGGCTGGGGGCTAGCCTCCCCCAGCCTGTGGTTCACGTGCCACCAATGTATATTTCCTTTTGGTAAATATATGTCAATTAGGGCTGTCAAGTGATTTAAAAAATTAATCACGATTACTCGCACAATTAAAAAAAATTAATCGTGCGATTAATCGCACTGTTAAACAATAAGAGAATACCATTTATTTAAATATTTTTGGACGTTTTCTACATTTTCAAATATATTGATTTCAATTACAACACAGAATACAAAGTGTACAGTGCTTATTTTATTTTTGATTACAAATATTTGCACTGTAAAAAACAAAAGAAATAGTATATTTCAATTCACCTAATACAAGTACTGTAGTGCAATCTCTTTATAATGAAAGTTGAACTTACAAATGTTGAATTATGTACAAAAAATAACTGCATTCAAATATAAAACAATGTAAAACTTTAGAACCTACAAGTCCACTCAGTCCTACTTCTTGTTCAGGCAATCGCTCAGACAAACAAGTTTGGTTACAATTTGCAGGAGATACTGCTGCCCACGTCTTGTTTACAATGTCACCTGAAAGTGAGAACAAGCGTTTGCATAGCACTGTTGTAGCCGGCATTGCAAGATATTTACATGCTAGATGCGCTAAGGATTCCTTCATGCTTCAACCACCATTCCAGAATACATGCATCCATGCTCATGACGGGTTCCGCTCGATAACGATCCAAATCAGAGCAGACCGACACATGTTCATTTTCACCTTCTGAGTCAGATGCCACCAGCAGAAGGTTAATTTTCTTTTTTGGTCGTTTGGGCTCTGTAGTTTCCGCATCAGAGTGTTGCTCTTTTAAGACATCTGAAAGCATTCTCCACACCTTGTCCCTCTCAGATTTTGGAAGGCACTTCAGATTCTTAAACCTTGGGTCGAGTGCTGTATCTATCCTTAGAAACCTTCTTTTCGTTTTGCCAAATCTGCTGTGAAAGTGTTCTTAAAACGAACATGTGTTGGGTCATTATCCAACACTGCAATAACATGAAATATATGGCAGAATGCGGGTAAAACAGAACAGGAGACATACAATTCTCCCCCAAGGAGTTCAGTCACAAATTTAATTAACACATTTTTTTTTTAACAAGCATCAGCAGCATGGAAGCATGTCCTCTGTAATGGTGGCCAAAGCATGAAGGGGTATATGAATGTTTAGCATATCTGGCACATAAATACCTTGCAACACCGGCTACAAAAGTGCCATGCGAATGCCTGTTCTCACTTTCAGATGACATTGTAAATAAGAAGCAGTCAGCAGTATCTGCCGTAAATGTAAACAAACTTGTTTGTCTTAGCAATTGGCTGAACAAAAAGTAGAACTGAGTGGACGTGTAGGCTCTAAAGTTTTACATTGTTTCATTTTTGAGTGCAGTTATGTAACAAAAAAAAAAATCTACATTTGTAAGTTACACTTTCACAATAAAAGGATTGCACTTCAGTACTTGTATGAGGTGAACTGAAAAATACAATTTCTTTTGTTTATCATTTATACAGTGCAAATATTTGTAATTAAAATCATAACATAAAGTAAGCACTGTACACTTTGTATTCTCTGTTGTAATAGAAATCAATATATTTGAAAATGTAGAATAACATCCAAAAATATTTAATAAGTTTCAATTGGCATTCTATTGTTTAACAGTGCGATTAATCATGACTAATTTTTTTAATCACAGTTAATTTTTTTTAGTTAACCGTGTGAGTTAACTGCGATTAATCAACAGCCCTAATGTCAATAGCTTTAAACTTTCTATTATTTTTAGTATACATTGGGAATGAACTTTTCCACACATACCCCTTCTGCAGAAATGGGCCTTCCTCAGAAACCACATTCCATCTGGCCTAAGAAGTCAGAATTGTCAACTCAGTAACATACATGAGATCCAGTCTGCTGAGGGCCTTAAATGTCAACTATTAACTTACAGTCAGTCCACACACCAGCAGTCTGATAATGCAGAAAGCAAAGTAGTGTCCTGGCAAAATCTTTTCTGCCAAGACATGGTAACAGATCTGCATCTTTGTCAACCCAGTATGAAGAAAAGGAAGGCAGCAGAATTGGATTAGTGCAAAGGGATGCATTAGGGTCACAAGTTCAAAGTAGCCACATTCTCAAAACAAAACCAGCTTTGAGCTGATTTGACAAAAAGCCTTCTAATATCAGCCACAGATCAAGGGCTTCACACTGGCGGCATGTTACACTAACTAATGCGAAATGCTATTCACATTACACCTCCTACTTAAACCAATAGGCATAATTTTGATTGTTAGAATTTCCTCTCTTTCACTTCTTTATGTGTAATTGCATATCTAATACGTAACTGTGACTTTGACCTGTGCTTGAACAGCAATTTTATATGTTCCTTTCTTTGCTTTCAACTATTTCAAAAATTTTCCGTATTGTTCCTATGCACTCCATGTGCGAATGTGCACACCATTAACAGATGGGATTTCATCATTTGAGAACCTCTTGGCTAATAATGTTCTTAGAGTATTTGTCTGGGTCATAGCTTGTGTTACCTGTTTTGGAAATCTTTTTATCATTGGAATGAGATCATTTATCAGAGCTGAAAACAAGATGCACACCACGTCTATCAAAATGTTGTGTTGTAAGTATATATTAGTGGTATTATTTTTAAATCAGACAGACCGTTGTACTATGTACATTAGAGTATTCAACCATTTACATTATAGATAAAAATATAAGCAATGCATTAACTTTGCTATTTTTGTCCCATTTCCCAATATTCTAAATATAAGCAGAAAGTTGCTTTTAACTCTTAAATTCAAATGGTCAAGATGTATAAGAAGAGTCTATGCAGCCTAATGGTTTCACTTTATTAATTTTACTGTTAATTTTACATCCAAGAAAACAGAAAGGTTAACCAGTGCTAGACTGGCTATTGCATGCATTTTGTGATGTGCCATGCCATCTTATTCTTCTCAGTTTTGGCACCAGCAACTAGTAAACTTCACTGTGGTTTATAAATTCCATGTTCATAATTAGCCAGAAAATTATATTGACTCCAAATTAATGCACCATATTTTGTCTAACAATAATTTTGGAATTAAGAGCCTGCATTTGAACAATATTAACACAGGGCCAAATTTAGATCTGCTATAAACAAGTGCAACTTCTTTAAAGTCAATTTATACTGGCTTCCGTTTATAAAATGAGTGTGTGATGCTGCCCTCTTCTAGCCTATAGAGAGGATACGGAATCTGATTCTACTTCCAGGCTAAGAGAATTCTCCCTTGGCTCAAGTAGTACTAGCTTGTAGTTTCATCTCCCTATCTGTATGTGATTTTCAAATGAGAGGTGTCAGTTACCTGCCTTTCACAGATTTACTACAGTGCCATAACCCAGTATTCATGGCATGATCTCAGACTAGGGTGACCAGATGTCCCGATTTTATAGAGACAGTCCCGATTTTTGGGTCTTTTTCTTATATAGGCTCCTATTACCTCCCACCCCCTGTCCCAGTTTTTCACACTTGCTGTCTGGTCACCCTATCTCAGCCACTTCCATCAAATTCATTCTGATGCCACAAACTCTGGGTTAAATTACATTACTGCATATGTCAGCCAGGATCTGGCCAATTCTAAGAACATTTTTAGTATATAAATCTTTAAATTTAATAACTATTTTTAATAAACTGTGAACATTTCTTTTTAAATAGGTGCTGATTGTCTGATGGGTGTGTACTTCTTCTCCATTGAAGTCTTTGACATTAAATACTGTGGACAATATAAAAAAATATGCTGTGCTGTGGATGGAGAGCTTACCATGTCATATCATGGGTTTCCTGGCCATGTTTTCTACAGAGGTCTCTGTCTTGTTGTTGACATATCTGACTTTGGAAAAATATTTAGTAATTGTCTTTCCCTTCAGTAATATCCGACCAGGAAAGCATCAGACAATAATAATCCTTGTATCCATATGGTTTATTGGATTTGTAATAGCAATAATCTCATTTTGGGATGAGGATTTTTTTGGAAATTTTTATGGAAAAAATGGAGTTTGTTTCCCACTTTATTCTGATCAAACAGAAGAAATTAGAGGCAAGGGGTATTCTCTTGGGATTTTTCTTGGTAAGTTTAATATTTTCATACATCTTTATTACTTGTTTCTCTTATTGCACTACAAAAACTGATTTCCAGACTACAGAAAACTCATGTATAGTAGATATATTTTTACAGTGGTCCCAATGATTGTTCGCAGGCTTCCTGCTTCTGAAGTACTTAATTTTTTTTTCCTGCTAGTTTTTGTGTCTTTTACTAGTTGCTCTTCAAATTCCTTTTTGGCCTGTCTACTTATACTTTTACACATGACTTGCCAGAGTTTATGTTCCTTTTTTATTTTCCTCAATATGATTTGACCTCCTATTTTTCAAAGATGTCTTTTTGTCTCTACCTTCCTCTTTTACTCTGTTGTTTAGGCATTGTGGCATTTTTTTGGTCATCTTACTGTTGTTTTTTTATTTGGGATATATTTATAGTTTGAGCCTCTGTTATGGTGTTTTTAGTTTCCATGCAGCTTGCAGGCATTTCCCTCTTGTTATCATTCCTTTTAATTTCCATTTAACTAGCCTCCTCATTTTTGTGTAATTCCTCTTTAAGAAGTTAAATGCTACTCTGGTGGGTTTCTTCTACATTCCCTCACTTACAGGGATGTTAAATTTAATTAAATTATGTTCACTATTACTGAACAGTTCAGCTATATTCACCTCTTGATCCAGAACCTGTGCTTCACTTAGGAATTGCCTCTCCCCTTGTGGGTTATAGGACTAGCTGCTCCAAGAAGCAGTCATAAATGGTGTCTAGAAATTTTATCTCTGCATCCCATCCTGAGATTACATGCACTCAGTCAATATGGGGATAGTTGAAATCCCCCATTTTTATTGGGGTTTCTGTTTATTTAGCCTCTGTAATTTCCATGAGCATTTCACAGTCACCATCCTGGTCAGGTAGTCAGTGGCATATTCCTACTGCTATACTCTTATTATTCAAGCATGGAATTTCTATTCATAGAGATTCTATGGTACTGTTTGATTCAAGATTTTTACTATATTTCACTCTATATTTTATTTCACATATAGTGCCACTCCAACACCAGTGCAACCTATTCAGTCATTCCTGTATATTTTATACCCTGGTCTTACTGTGTCCCATTGAGAATCATTGTATCAGCAAGTTTCTGTAATGCCTATTATATCAATATCCTCATTTAATATCAGGCACTCAAGTTCACCCATCTTAGTATTTAGACTTCTAGCATTTGTAAAATTTGTCACTATTTAGTTGTCTGCCTTCATGTGATATAATTGAATGGGACTACTTTTTGTTTGACTGTTTCTCTTCAGTTCCTACCTGTACTTTATCAACTTCTATCCTCTCCTCTTTATTAAGATATAGATTATCCCCTTTAATAAATCCTCCCTTAAGGGATGTGTCTGTTCAAACCATGTGCTCCTCTGCACCTGTCAGCTTTCTTCCAGTTCTGACTTTAAAAACCCCTCTATGGCCTTTTTAATTTTACATGCCTGCAATCTGGTTCCATTTTAGTTTAGATGGAGCCCAACCTTCCTATAAAGACTCCTCCTTTCCTAAAAGGTTCTCCAGTCCCAATAAACCTAAATCCCTCCTCTGAACACCATAGCCTCATCCACGCATTGAGACCCTGAAGTTCTCCCTGTATAACTGGCCCTGCATGGGGAACTGGAAGCATTTTCCAGAATGCTACCACGGAGGTCCTGAATTTTAATCACTTACTTAGCAGACTAAATTTGGCCTCCAGGACCTCTCCTCTACCTTTCTACCTAATGTACCATGACCACTGTCTGCTCCCAGCACTGCATATAAGTCTGTCTAGATGTTTTGAGAAGTCTGCAATCTTTGCACCTGGCAGACAATTCACCATGCAGTTCTTCCAGTCATCACACATCCAACTATCTATATTTCTAATAATCAAATCCCCCATTACTATTACCTGTCTTTTCCTAATAACTTGGGGCCCCTCCCCCAGAGAAGTATCCTTAGTATTCCTGCACAATAATGGGGGCCCCTCTCCCTGGAGAGGTATCCTCTGTGTTCCTCTACCAGAGGATTTTTATCCAAGTCCACTTTACAGTCCACAAGTAGGAGTTGCATGCATATCAGCAAGGGAGGTTTAGGCTGGACATTAGGAAGAAGTTCCTAACTGTCAGGGTGGTTAAACACTGGAATAAATTGCCTAGGGAGGTTGTGGAATCTCCATCTCTGGAGATATTTAAGAGTAGGTTAGATAAATGTCTATCAGGGATGGTCTAGACAGTATTTGGTCCTGCCATGAGGGCAGGGGACTGGATTCAGTGACCTCTCGAGGTCCCTTCCAGTCCTAGAATCTATGAATCTATGAATCAGCAGGCATGATTTGGTGCTAACTCTTGCAACATTTTCTTGTCTCTCTTTATGTGCAGCTCTGCTCCCTCCATGCTGTTTGCTGCAAGAGAGGAGCACATGGCCCTTGGGGAGGCGGGTTGGATTTCTGTAATTACACCCTATGTTTGTAACATATACATATATTTGTTAATATATAGGTCATACTATGGAACAATAACTTTTAAATAAAGAGGTTCAATGGAAAGACAGAAAATAGTTGTTTATGAGAAGTCTTACACAGGAGGCAATTGAGAACAAACAAAGTCTTATAATGTATTTGTAATGAATTTATTATTGTCAAATTTTAATATCAATAAAATATTTATAAGAAATCATCCTCCACAAAAGAATTTTGATAGCCTCCTATTAAGCACTGAAAACAATATTGGATTCTTGATTCTTTAAAAAGGGACTGGGGGGGACAATCTAAAATAAACCCCAAAATTTGCAAACAGTGTTTGTGGATGGAATAATTGAAACATGTGAATCAGCAACCTCTACATTTTTCTTTTTTAATGAGCCAGTCCTACTGTGAATGCAGCAAAATTAAAAGTATATCTAAAACAGGTCCTATTTCTGCAACCCTGGTCATGCAAGTAGTCCTTACTCAACAGAATAGTCCCATGTATGTCAATGGGATATTTTGTATGAGTACAGACTGTTCACATAATACAGTAAAGTTTGTAGACTGGAACTCTAGTGAGTCCCAAGTAAAAATGACTAAGGCTCTGATTCAGCAAAGTATTTATATATGTGCATTGCTCATGTACTTAAAGTGATCATATACAAACCAGTGGGGCTACTTATGTAGCTAATGTTACACACTGCTTTAGAATCTTGCTGAACTGGGGCCTAAAACAAAAACAAAAATTATCTCTTCATTTGCCTGAGCTTGCACTAAAACCTCCTTGGAAGAGATCAAGATCTCGCAAAAAGGTCATTCTCTCAGTTCCAGGAAAACTGCCTCAAACCAAAATCTTTAAACTGAATAGTTTAGTGTAGCAAGAACACAGAAGAGAGCTATCTTCCCTCACCAACAACTGCTGTGTCATTTTATATTTACAGCTCATAACATTTGCAGTGAACATGGAAATGCAGTATTTCCCAAATCAGTGCTAAGTATAATGGGTTTTTCAGCAGGATGCCTCATCACAGAAGATTTCCATCATTCATATTTTGGTTCTGTTTTCGAAAAAAGAGGCGAGGCCTTCTTTGCGAGCTCATACCTGCCAAGTGGCATTGCCTGAAGCTTTTTTTTCTTTTTCTTTTAACTGAACAGGGGATTGCTACATGAGTTTGATGTAGTCTTTGGAAAGTTTATTGCCCTCACACTTGTGACTCAGGAGGGGAGTGTGATTCTGGACAAACATCAACCCTATATTTTTGTTTATAGTTATTTTTTGCCTGTTTTGCTAAAAGAAAACCTGGGAACAGTGACCAAGAGACAAAAATTGGGGATAATTGTTAAATATAAATATTTTGGCAGTGTATAAATGTGGCTTAGGGAATGTGGGGCAGAGGGAAGACAGTGTGCCAAGAGTTTGACTAATGCTCAGTCTTTGGCATGGTGGTGTGTATTCCATACTAGAGTTTTTATTTAGTTTTTTTATGGCTGCTTATTCCCAGTTCAATTTATAGCCTAGCTAGGGAAATGATTCCTCAGATTCTCTGTGTTAATCTTATATGACTGCTATTTTCTGCTATTATACTGCACCTAAGTTATCTGCTTTTGTAATTAGATGGTTTGATCCATTATGATCCCCAGTGAGGACTAGGTTGAATGGTGGTTGGGGATACCTGATTTTACTAATTTATAAAGTGGAAAGGTTTCAAAAGATTTGGAACCATCATGTTGTGCATACAGTGCAGCTATGTACAGGAAAGGCCCTAAGCCTTTGCCAGTCTGGGCAGAAAGCGTTTTCTGCACCCCATGGAGCAGCAAAACAAACAAATAAAATGACCAACTGGCACAGCGATATGGCACCCCCTGGAAATTGGTGCCCAGACTGACTCCCCTGCTTGCTGGCCCCTAGAATTGGCCATGGCTATATAATTGAATTATCTTATTATTGTTAGCCGTGTCCCTGCCCCCACTTCTTTCCCTCCTTTTGTTTGTTACATTCACTTTTGTCTTGTATAAAATTAGATTCTACACTCTTCACAGAATGGACCATGTCTTCCTATGTGTATATGTGAGGTGGCAGTTTGCAGATGATACAAAATTACTCTAGATCACAGGGTCCCCAAACTGTGGGGTGGACACCCCTAGGGGGGCACAGAGGACAGTTCAGGGGGGTGCAGCTGGGGCCTGGTTCAGCCCTAATGGGGGATGGGAAGGGAGCACCACCCAGTTCTGCTCCTGGCCCTGGCCAGTCCTGGCCCCAATTCCAGCTGCCAGCCTCGCACCCAGGGTTCCGCTCCCGGCTCCACACCCGGGGCCCCAGCTGCCGACCCCGTGCCCAGAGATCCATGCCCGAGACCCCAGCTGTCTGGCCTGCACCCAGGGATCTTCTCCCCACCACAGCTCCCAGCCCCGTGGCCGAGGTCCCGGCTGCCAGCCTCAGCCCCGCTCCCGCCCCCGCCCCTAGACCACTGCTCTAGATAGTCCAAAGCTGACTGCAAAGAGTTATAAAGGGATCTCACAAAACTGGGTGACTGAGAACAAAATGGCAGATGAAATTCAATGTTGATAAATGCAAAGTAAAGAACATTGGAAAACATAATCCCAACTATACATACAAAATGATGGGGTCTAAATTAGCTGTTACCACTGAAGAAAGAGATCTTGGAGCCATCATGGAAAGTTCTCTGAAAACATCCACTCAATGTGCAGCAGAAGCTGTCAAAAAAGCTAACAAAATGTTAGAGAGCATTAGGAAAGGGCTAGATAATAAGACAGAAAATATCTTAATGCCACTATATAAATACATGGTACACCCATATCTGGAATAATATGTGCAGTTCTGGTCACCCCATCTCAAAAAAATATATTAGAATTGGGAAGAGTGCAGAGAAGGGCATCAAAATGAGGAGATTAAAAAGATTGAAACTGTTCAGCTCAGAAAAGAGATGACTGACAGGGTACATGATAGAGGTCTACAAAATCATGAATGGTGTGAAGAAATAGACTAGGGAATTGTTATTTATCCCTTTGCATAACACAAAGGGGGTCACCCAATGGAATTAATAGACAGCATAACAAATACTTCTTCACACAACACACACTCAATCTGTGAAACTCATTGCCATGGGACTTTGTGATGGCTAAAAATATAACTGAGTTAAGAAAACATCTAGATATGTTCATGGAGGATAGATCCATCAATGGCTATTAGCCAAGATTGTCAGGGATGCAACCCCATGCTCTGCTTGTCCCTAAACCTCTGACTGGCAGAAGCTGAGGCTGGATGACAGTGGATGGACCACTCGATCAATTACCCTGTTCTGTTCATTCCCGCTGAAACATCTGGCACTGACTAGTTGGAAGACAGGATACTGTGCTAGATTGGTCTGACCCAGTATAGCTATTTTTATGTTCTTATGTTCTTAACAAAACCTGCATTGATTGCACTGGAAGAGCCATGAAGGCCAGCATTCCAGCAGATTGTACCACTATGGGCACAGGGGCTTAAGGCAATGATATTTTGAGTAATATCCTGAGTTCCTTATACACCATCACAAATCTATACACACACCCAAGAGTAATACATGTCTCATGTTTGCATCAGTAGCCAACCATATGGGGATAAGCTGAGTCCCTCTTTACAGTTGCCTTAGAGCAATGTTTAAACATGGTTCTGACTAAACTGTATTATAACACTGTTTGTCAGGGACAAATGAAAATTTGGGCTATAGCTTGGTTGTGAAATCATGTTTTTGAAAAATAGTCTAAACTGATTTGGGCCCCATCCAGACCAGCTACTCAGCAAAACTGTGTTATAAGAAGATTAGCAACAAGTGGACCAGACTTCTGTTTTTGGTTGCATTGTTGTAAATCCAGAGCAGCTCCCTTTTTTGAGAACAGAATTTGGCCCATTGCTAAAAGTCCACTTCTTAAACACAGATATGAAGCTAGTGTAGACTGGCTTTTAGAAACAAGTTGCAAATCCTGTTTTGTGCACATTCCTCTTGCAGTAATTTGTGGTGGGTTTTTGAACAGATCTAAGGTAGCTGTTCTGGGGCTAGTACAAGTATCAGCTGGGTTTGGCCCTTCCACAGTCACTATGCCATTATTTCATCGATATGCAGGATTCCTGCAGATACTTTGTGTTCCAGCCTTATTGGAGCATATCTAGTCAGGGGCTCAGACCTCTGGGAAATTCTGGAAGCTATCTGTTTCTATAGTAAGTTACTACAGAATCCTTCATTTTACACTATGTAACAGAGGGGAGTACATGTACATAAGAAGGCTTTGTGACAGCAGAAAATATATAGGACATACTTCTAACAATAAAAAGCTATCTATAGTGATGAATATTTATAATAAAGTTAGAAAGGAAGAAAGAATATAAAAATGGTGGGAGACAAGGAAGATACGAGGATATCCCTTTTATAGGATTTCCTGTTTTCGAATCTTCTGTTTTTCCCAACAGGTGTGAACCTACTAGCATTCATCATAATAGTGTTTTCATATGTCAGTATGTTTTACTCCATTCAAAAAACTGCCCTTCAGACATCAGAAGTAAGAAGCAACATTCACGTGGATGCTTCTATGTACTTCATACCAAAAGAAAATGCTGATTATCTTCTAAAGTTCTGTATTTCATTGTGATCTTTTCTAGGCACTGTCACTTTCTGGATAGTGATATTTATTCTGCCAATAAACAGTGCCTTGAACCCAATTCTCTACACTCTCACCACCACTTTCTTTAAGGAGAAGTTAAAGCAGTTACTGCAGAAACATCGAAGGAGGTCGGTTTTCAAAAATGACAGAAAAAGCTTGGCTACTTCAATAGTATGGACAGATGATTCCTTAATTCATGCCTCCTCTCTTAGACTTGGATTTTTAAACAAATAACTTTTGGGGGCTGAGTCAATAAGTTAATTTACGAATGATGGTTTCTCAGCAAGAGCATGAGACTTGGAAGTACCAGAATTAGTTATGTTAATCTTTTTGAGATTCATTTTGAAATGTCTTTGCCATTACCATCTTTGTATTCATCTTCCTGTAAGATAAAATGACAGCTGTTGCTTTTATCATTTCAGTTTCATGTAAAGGTTTCAGTGCAAGCACACTGTGTGTTGGGGCTGAAAATAATGAGGCATTTTCATTATTCATCCCACTCCCCATGAAGCCCTAATTCCTGATGGAATGGCAGAGACTAAATGAGCTTGTCCTTACAGACACTAAGTGGTGGTGGTGGGGGGGGAGAAGGGAAGAGATGAATTGGAGTAGGCATTAAATTTTACACCCTGAAATGTTTTAGACAGTATTATAAGGTTTGAGGTCATGCAGTAATCCTATTGTCAACAGGAAAATTGGAAGCAGAACTGGTCTAAAATGACAGTGCAGCTGTGACTTTTCAGCACTGACTCTCGAGGTCAAAATTAGGTACAATTCAGAGGGTAATGAGAGGTTGGCACCTGAATTTAAAAAGGCAACCACTGCATTTAGTCAGTAGCCATCTAAGGGTAGGATTGCCATTGGCCACTTCCGAAGGGATCACCAGATGACAATATGTCCTTTCAAATTTCTACTTCAGTGTACTCCCCTAGAAATACTGCAAAAGCGATTCATGCCAGTACAGTACTGCCGTGAAGCAGTGCCAAGCAGGCAAAAATCTGGTGCCACAGCTCATATAGCTAGGCACCTCTTGTCTCAAGCTACAGTTAATGTGCACTAACCCAGAAGCCACATGGCTTTTTTTTTTTAATTTGCCAAGTGGTGTCCATACTTTCACTCACTTCAATTTCTAAAGAATTTCTAAAGTGATTTTTGACAATTATACTAGTAATTT